CAACACTCCACCAACACTCAACCAACACTCCACCAACGCCCGTGCAACACTCCACCAACGCTCGTGCAACACTCCAGCAACACACGTTCAACACTCCACCAACACTCCACCAACACTCCACCAACACACGTTCAACACTCCACCAACACTCCACCAACACTCCACCAACACTCCAGCAACACTCCAGCAACACTGCACCAACACTCCACCAACACTCTACCGAAACTCCACCAACACTCCACCAACACTCCACCAACACTCCACCAACACTCCACCAACACTCCACCAACACTCCACCAACACTCCACCAACACTCCACCAACACTCCACCAACACTCCACCAACACTCCACCAACACACGTTCAACACTGCACCAACACTCCACCAACACTCCACCAACACTCCACCAACACTCCACCAACACTCCACCAACACTCCACCAACACTCCACCAACACACGTTCAACACTCCACCAACACTCCACCAACACTCCACCAACACTCCACCAATACTCCACCAACACTCCACCAACACTCCACCAACACTCCACCAACACTCCACCAACACTCCACCAACACTCCACCAACACTCCACCAACACTCCACCAACACTCCACCAACACTCCACCAACACTCCACCAACACACGTTCAACACTCCAACAACACTCCACCAACACTCCACCAACACTCCACCAACACTCCACCAACACTCCACCAACACTCCACCAACACTCCACCAACACTCCACCAACACTCCACCAACACTCCACCAACACTCCACCAACACTCCACCAACACTCCACCAACACTCCACCAACACTCCACCAACACTCCACCAACACTCCACCAACACTCCACCAACACTCCACCAACACTCCACCAACACTCCACCAACACTCCACCAACACTCCACCAACACTCCACCAACACACGTTCAACACTCCACCAACACTCCACCAACACTCCACCAACACTCCACCAACACTCCACCAACACTCCACCAACACTCCACCAACACTCCACCAACACTCCACCAACACTCCATCAACACACGTTCAACACTCCACCAACACTCCACCAACACTCCACCAACACACGTTCAACACTCCACCAACACTCCACCAACACTCCACCAACACTCCACCAACACTCCACCAACACTCCACCAACACTCCACCAACACTCCACCAACACTCCACCAACACTCCACCAACACTCCACCAACACTCCACCAACACTCCACCAACACTCCACCAACACTCCACCAACACTCCACCAACACTCCACCAACACTCCACCAACACTCCACCAACACACGTTCAACACTCCACCAACACTCCACCAACACTCCAACAACACTCCACCAACACTCCACCAACACTCCACCAACACTCCACCAACACTCCACCAACACTCCACCAACACTCCACCAACACACGTTCAACACTCCACCAACACTCCAACAACACTCCACCAACACTCCACCAACACTCCACCAACACTCCACCAACACTCCACCAACACTCCACCAACACACGTTCAACACTCCACCAACACTCCAACAACACTCCACCAACACTCCACCAACACTCCACCAACACTCCACCAACACTCCGCCAACACTCCACCAACACTCCACCAACACTCCACCAACACACGTTCAACACTCCACCAACACTCCACCAACACTCCACCAACACACGTTCAACACTCCACCAACACTCCAACAACACTCCAGCAACACTCCAGCAACACTCCACCAACACTCCACCAACACTCCACCAACACTCCATCAACACTCCACCAACACTCCACCAACACTCCACCAACACTCCACCAACACTCCACCAACACTCCACCAACACTCCACCAACACTCCACCAACACTCCACCAACACTCCACCAACACACGTTCAACACTCCACCAACACTCCACCAACACTCCACCAACACTCCACCAACACTCCACCAACACTCCACCAACACTCCACCAACACTCCACCAACACTCCACCAACACTCCACCAACACTCCACCAACACACGTTCAACACTCCACCAACACTCCACCAACACTCCACCAACACTCCACCAACACTCCACCAACACTCCACCAACACTCCACCAACACTCCACCAACACTCCACCAACACTCCACCAACACTCCACCAACACACGTTCAACACTCCACCAACACACGTTCAACACTCCACCAACACTCCACCAACACTCCACCAACACTCCACCAACACTCCACCAACACTCCACCAACACACGTTCAACACTCCAGCAACACTCCACCAACACTCCACCAACACACGTTTAACACACGTTCAACACTCCACCAACACTCCACCAACACTCCACCAACACTCCACCAACACTCCACCAACACTCCACCAACACTCCACCAACACACGTTCAACACTCCAGCAACGCTCCACCAACACTCCACCAACACACGTTCAACACTCCACCAACACTCCACCAACACTCCACCAACACTCCACCAACACTCCACCAACACTCCACCAACACACGTTCAACACTCCACCAACACTCCACCAACACTCCACCAACACTCCACCAATACTCCACCAACACTCCACCAACACTCCACCAACACTCCACCAACACTCCACCAACACTCCACTAACACTCCACCAACACACGTTCAACACTCCACCAACACTCCACCAACACTCCACCAACACTCCACCAACACTCCACCAACACTCCACCAACACTCCACCAACACTCCACCAACACTCCACCAACACTCCACCAACACTCCACCAACACTCCACCAACACTCCACCAACACTCCACCAACACTCCACCAACACTCCACCAACACTCCACCAACACTCCACCAACACTCCACCAACACTCCACCAACACTCCACCAACACTCCACCAACACACGTTCAACACTCCACCAACACTCCACCAACACTCCACCAACACTCCACCAACACTCCGCCAACACTCCACCAACACACGTTCAACACTCCACCAACACTCCACCAACACTCCACCAACACACGTTCAACACTCCACCAACACTCCAACAACACTCCACCAACACTCCACCAACACTCCACCAACACTCCACCAACACTCCACCAACACTCCACCAACACTCCACCAACACTCCACCAACACTCCACCAACACTCCACCAACACTCCACCAACACTCCACCAACACTCCACCAACACTCCACCAACACTCCACCAACACTCCACCAACACTCCACCAACACTCCACCAACACACGTTCAACACTCCAGCAACACTCCACCAACACTCCACCAACACACGTTCAACACTCCACCAACACTCCAAGAAACACTCCACCAACACTCCACCAACACTCCACCAACACTCCACCAACACTCCACCAACACTCCACCAACACTCCACCAACACTCCACCAACACTCCACCAACACTCCACCAACACACGTTTAACACACGTTCAACACTCCACCAACACTCCACCAACACTCCACCAACACTCCACCAACACTCCACCAACACTCCACCAACACACGTTCAACACTCCAGCAACACTCCACCAACACTCCACCAACACACGTTCAACACTCCAGCAACACTCCAGCAACACTCCACCAACACACAACATTGTTGATTGACAGGTCAACTTCTCCAGATCCCATTTTTCCCATCTTCTGCGCATCATCCATGTTCGTTTTTTTTTGCCCTCATTACAATCCACCCCTCTCTCCACCCTCTCTCCAACCTCTCTCCACCCTCTCTCTACCCTCTCTCTTCACTCTCCCTCTCTCCTCCCCTCACCTTTATTTGTTTTCTATGGGCCAATTTTTTACTATTATCTCCATCTATATTTTTTTCATTATGTTATCAGTTACGCTACTTTAAGAAAGAAACTTAATTAAAATCATTTTTAATTAGCACCATCTTTGGCCTGTCATCGGGTATTGGCTATCTAAGTTAATGAACGTATCTTTAGTTTGTCAAAGTTGAGTCGAAGTTATAAAGTTATATTAGAAGGAATATTTGGTTGTGAGAATTGAATAGTCTACTAGCAGAATTACATATTTCACTGTGTTGTCTATGTTATTTTAAATCGAAATTTGATTTAGCAGTTTAATTTTATTTAATATTTTACTTATTGTGTTCTAACGTAATAGGGTTTGTTTTGAATTTTTTTCTCAATGAAACGGATATGCCTAGTTGGATTGAGGCATTTGGGATGGGGAGGGTGGCATTTGAGGTGGGGAGGATGGCATTTGGGTTGGGGGGATGGCATTTGGGGTGGGGAGGATGGCATTTGGGGTGGGGAGGATGGCATTTGGGTGGGGAGGATGGCATTTGGGGTGGGGAGGATGGCATTTGGGGTGGGGAGGATGGCATTTGGGTGGGGAGGATGGCATTTGGGGTGGGGAGGGTGGAAGGGGTGGAGAGGGTGGCATTTGGGTGGGGAGGATGGCATTTGGGGTGGGGAGGGTGGAAGGGGTGGGACTGTAGTAACAGGCAAGCCAGGGCTCTGTAAAATTACGATGCAGTATCGTATCGAATTACTTTTTTTTCTCACGGAATAGTTATTAGGGTCAGGGTTTTGATGGGGGCCAGTCTAGACTAGGGTCGTTTGGATACGGATTCGTCTAGACTAGAGTTAAAAATAGATTAAGGATTAGATGCATGGTCCAAGTTAAAACTGGGATTAAGGTAGAAATACTTTAAAACTACGGCTTCGAATATGCCCTGGTGATACCTTAATGCATATCATTTTGATACTCGATTACATCAAGATTTAGGATTAGGGTCAAGGTCAAAGCTAGCCTTACGGCCAAGGTTACGTTTAATGTGGTAGTGATGCTAGCAAAGAAATTCCTTCACAACTGCATGCGAGAGTTTAAGTAAATGTAAAACAAATTGATGCCTAAAATGGGTTAAAGAGAAAGTAATGGAGAAATATGGATATCGATATCGGACACTTTTTTTTTCTTTCTGCTTCAGGATATAACGGCCAGAGTTGATACACAGTTTGAAATAGAAGGGAATTAACTCGCTGTCATGACCAAATATACCAGGTGAGTTGTAAATAGCTGGGTTATAAATAGGTGGGTTGTAAATAGCAAGGTTGTAAATATGTAGGTTGTTAATAGGTGGATTTTAAAAATGTTGGTTATAAATAACTCGGTTGTAAAAAGCTGAGTTATAAATAGCTGACTTTTAAACAGCTGAATGGCACAGAGATGAGTTGTAAATAGGTGGGTTGTAAATAGCAGCTGGGTTGAAAATAGGTTGGTTATGAAAAAAATGGTTCTTAATAGAAGTTTATACATAGGTGGTTGTAAAAAAAATTTTAAATTTAAAAAAATAAAAAAAAAAGATAATAAAATAAGTGGTTGTAAATAGGGGGCTGTAAACAGTTTGGTTGTAGCGGCTTTTAAAATACCTATACTGTAAGTAGATATGTTGTAAATAGGGGGTTGTGGCGGCTTTTAAAATACCTGTGTTGTAAATAGATGGATTGTAAATAGCTGGGTTGTAAATAGCTGACTTTTAAACAGCTGACTGGCACAGAGATGAGTTGTAAATTGCCGAGTTTGCCGAGAAAATAAACAACAGGGCACGCGCTTCAAGTTTGCCTAGCATGTTGTATTTTAACACGAGCGCCTAAGTGATCCAACATGCACGCATGTCCCACAAAACATGGATCAATACGAAAAATCCAGACCGACTAGTAAACTTGAGAGAGGAAAAAAAATGTATGCTTCATCGGATTTTCCCCATTTTACACGACACCCCCCCCCCCACCCCCACGTCACCCCCCTCTCAACCACTACCCCCAAACTCGTTAAAACTTATCTGATTGGCTGCGGCGGTAATGGCGAGAGAAAAGATTGCATCACAAATCTGGTGTTTCTGATGAAGATGTGTTGAATAAATAAATCGTTTTGGAACATTGTGGCTAAAAGATTGGCTAGCGTAACGTCACGTGTGTTTGGTCTATAAATAAAAGCCGCCATTACGGCTGTGTCGGGCTCATCTGTGTGACGTGGGAGCCCAGGATAGAATGATACATGTACATCGTTTTATCAGCTCGTTTATAACGCTCAATGGTATCTGTGATAAGTTTATATTAGAAGGAGTTGATCTGTTAAGTCTTTGAAGTTTGATACGAGCTGTGGATATTGAACAGAATTAATTAATAATATAAGAAAAACAGTGACGGGTTAAAGATTGTATTAAGGTTGAAGTTCAGGGTAAGGATTGGTGCCAAAAGTTGAACCTTGGCAAGAGATAGATTTAATTTCCCTTGGAGAAATAAAATATCTAATTGTTTTTATCGCGGTGGATATCTTTTGAGATGTCTTAAGCAGGTGAGGCGACCGTCTGAGATGATGACAGGGACCGGGGACGGGGGGGGGGGGGGGCGAATACATGATCCACCTATCTAGATCAGGGTTTGTTTCAGGCTGTTTACTCCGGGGTGGGGGCATTTGAAACTTCGGGGTAAAGTTCCTTCTAGAACCTGATTTTCAATGTGGTAGGTGAAGCAGAGTTCACCTGTTTCTGTGACCACGGCATATGAATGGGTACTGTGGTCAGCACTATGCCCAACCGTCTATCCTTTCCCTAACGCGAGTAAGTTACCCATCAGAGCTGGTTGGACTCAGGGACGTTGTACTCACTTAAACCCGGATTCGAACTCGTGGTTTTCGAGTTAGCTGTCTAGCGCTCTACAGCGATGCCACGACGTCAACTTGGGAGAGGGTCAGTTAAATGAATAGTTAAAGTATATATATATATATATATATATATATATATATATATATATATATATATATATATATATATATATATATATGTTGCATTTAATACCCTTTGTCTTCGAATGGAAATGGACTTTTGTTCTGGAGGGTATGTGCAGCGCTCTCCCCACCCCGGAGAAAGCACTGGTTATAAGGGTGCCCAGAGACCCAAATACAAGGAGAAAAAGAAGATTACCTTAGTTATTTCAGTTCTCGGGATCATCAACAATACTCTGTCTTAAATAGATACAGGAATTTGGTAGCACAAGCAGGTCACGTCTTGTGGTAAGAACTTTGTGTATGGACAAGGTCGATAGAAGTCACCAAGTCGTTTGAGGTAATCAGACCAATCAAGCGTAGCGTAGAGTCGAATCCAACCTTTCAAGACCAGATGTACCTCACTCGGTTCAGTTGTTGTGTGACTCAATCGGATGTAGCTCACGTGTAAGACCACGTTAAAGATCACGCGAAAGATCACGTTCCCCACACGCCGTGTGATCACGGAGACCACACAAACGGTACCCCGGCGCCCCAGCAGGCAGGGGGTGATGGGTGTCGTGTGTCGAAAGCTGGAGGGGATTTTAAACAAAGGGGAGGTCACCCCCGTGCTAAATGACGCAAAACATCTTGGCTTCTATTCCTCGAAAATTCTCTCCCTTCTCACGGAATGTGGAATACGTCCTAAAATTAACCACAAGTGGTTCAAAGGGGGTGGTATTCCCGTAAACTTTCGACGCGGGGTTTCACTAAACGAAAGTTACCTCTGTAATTAATTGACGGCATTTGCGGTTCCAATTTATAGAAATGGCATTTGATTGGAATCGCGAAGCGTAGTAAAGAAAAAATTCCTTGCAGAATTTGACGACGGGCCAATACATTTCCAGAAGGGTTAACAGTATACCCCCTCCTCTCCCATCCGCAATTCTTCCCGGGGAATTTTTGTAACCTTTGAATTAAGGGAATGCCGGCTAAGTGTTTGCGCAGAATCTTGGCGCGGCATGGTGCCGTCTAATTGTCGTACGCGGCCTCAGAATCCTGTCATCCGGATCTAAAACAGGAACGCACGGGACGTAATGAGGTTGTACTTTATGATGCGCGTGAGCAACGGAACTGACCGGAGACGTGCGGTCAAGGTTATACGGGTGTTTATCATTGTAAATAAACCTCATAATTACATATCCGTATATTTAATTAAATGTTCATTCATCTAACCTAAATGTTGCAGCATATTCGAAAGTATACAGTAACAACACCTGCCCTAGGATATTTCTTTAATTTGAACTAAACATTAATGTTACATTGAGCTATCGATGAGAGACGTAAGTTAAGCTTAGTTACAAGGACGAGGTAAAAACAACAGTAAAAACACCATCCTGATGATTTTTAACACTTGTTACAACATCAAGATGTTTCGCACATCAACATAATGATATTGTTAACTACTTAATATTTACATAAGACGTAGATTATCATTCGAAACAAAAATATTAATCGTCTTAAGCGTTTGACTGCAACATCAAGATTTTCTCAAAATTGTTTCTTTGATATCAGCAATGTATTTAACGTTCCAAACTACACATATAAGCATAAAACATAAAAAATCCTATTCGTTTTGACGTATCACAGAGAACTCTTTCACATATCGCTTACAACATAAACCCTACACGATTTTACATACCACAGAAAATCCGACCACATATTTCACACATCAAATACCACACACATTTTCTACATAACAAAGAAAAAACACCACGTATTTCGCACAACAAAAATTACATTTTCACATACCACAGAAAACCCCTACACATATCGCACACAACATAAGCCCCACACGTTTCACATACGACAGAAAACCCACACCACATATTTCACACAACACATTGAAGCCCTTCCAACCAATAGCCAACCCCTTCCAATAAATCTTCCTCCATCTAGCCGCCCGTTCAAACATATTTATTTCCCATAATCCAATTAGATCTCTAGAATAGGATTGTTTTTTTATCTACAGCGCCCATAAAATAAAACAGCGTCTGAAATGCTAAGCTAAATTGCCTTGAAGATCTTAAGCTGTATGTTTCTAAATTATTCAGAACTATTTAAATATATTTTTTGAGAAATATTGAAATTAAAGCTAAATAAGCACATATTTCAAATTATAAAATGACATTTAGTTATCAAATAGACAAATACGTTGTTTTTTTAGTATTAATTTTTAAATAATGTGTACAATTTTCTATTTTCTGACAGTTGTCCATTATGGACTTCCTGTCAAGTAGATTGTTGGAAATATTTGTATTCGAGAAATGTCTGTTCGGGGTACTGTCCCATTCAGGCATTCGTTCGTTCGGGCAATGGCCTCATTCGGACAAAAGTTACCGTTTTTTTTTTAAACACATGGCATTGGGGCAAGTGTTTTTCTGGCTAAAGTCAGCCCCCACCCCCGCTCCCATCCTTAGTGATTACGAGGTAATGCTGACATGTGGAATATATACGGCATTGTAAAATGGCATGCTAGAATTGTATGGTAGGATGACATTGTAACATGACATGTGGGTGACATACTGTGATGACTATATACGCTGACATCGGATTATGACATGGGTGATGACAAAAATGATTAACACGGTGTAGTGGCATGGATTAAAATTAGGAAATGTCATATCACATTTAGACTTTATTATCAAACTCACACTATTTAACAAGCATACAAAAAGGTCTGGATTTCTTTCTCTCTGTTTTGATAACTCAATGTTCAAATCTGACAGGCGAAGTATCCTATCCGCCAAACCAGACCTAATTAGTTGTGAAGTCTGTATGCTGTATGTAAATCGTAAGGTAAAATTTAACAAATGAAACGTAAAGCACCCCAGAAATATAAAAGTTACCTTATATTAAATGTAGAACTTTAATAAAAAAGTAACTGTGTGTAACGTTAAGTACACAATGAACGTGAATGTCATCCTAAGTGAAGTGTAAAGTACACAATAAAGATAAAAGTTAACGTTTATAAAAAAAACTAAAGTACACTGTATGCACTTACGCTAACAACCTGTTGCACTTCAGACTTCAAATTTTAATCAACTCTGATCAGTGCCACACCATCCCGTCCCCCCACATTACACTCCCACAGAGGGGAAGACCGCGACGGGAATTGGAGAGGTCTGGCCACGCCTTAGGTGCTAGGGCCAGGAGTAGGACGGAAAACTCGGGAGGGACGGGCCGAGTGATGGGCCCCTAATTAGGAAATTGAAAGCACGAATGCCCGGGTGTGT